CCCACTGTTGCCAAAGTGCTTGCTCATAGGGGGTCATATGATTGTTGGGTTTTTCTCTGTATCTATGAAGCGCCTTGAGGCGACTTTTGTTGCGATTTGGCGCTATATAAATAAAATTGAATTGAATTGAATTGAAACATCAAAAATATTTTAGACCTGGATACAGTTTGCTTTGATGGAGCTCCCAAAAACAGTTAAAAAAAAAAAAAAAACCACGTTCATTATATTTCATGGCTGTCAGTTCACAGAACGTGGATAAACGTAGCCACTGGCTCATCTTATTCCACTCTGCTCCTACTACCAAGTTGTTTTCAGGAAGAACAGGATATGATAAATCAAATATATGGACGACTATTTTTAGTGTAATATGTTCAAAAAACATCCTTCTATGAGGAGAACACGCCACGACAGCATTGAGATTAGACTAAATGGGTTAACTGGTAGTCTGGTGGTCATCAGTTCCCCAAAGAAATACTAATGATGATCCCCTCACTGTAAGACTATAAGCCTTGGCTGTGAAGTGTTTCTATTTTGGTCATGTGATAATGTGTCAGTGTTGATTCCAGCATGTTGTGCTGCCACCTGGTGGCCAAAGTATGAATGTAAATGCTAAAATTAAGAGTTTATTTTTCTTCTGCAAATGCAGTCTGAACCACTTTAAGAGAATTGTGAACAGGGTGAATAAAGGTGTTTCCAGTTCACTGGAAGAATGCACAGGAAAATAATTTACAATCTAGTTGTCTATGATGCAGTCATGTTCAAATCTATGGTTTAAAAGTACCTCTAGAGCTGTTTTTGTACATAGCACTTACAATGAAGGGGAAAAGTCAGATTATATGTTCATCACTGACACTTTTCACACACTTTTTGGTTTTATAAAAAAAAGGGATTTTTTTAATCTAACATAGCAAGTATCTGAGCTCAAGAACTGCTGCTGGCAGCTGTATTGGCGAACGCTAGGATGAAAAAGCTGAAAAAACAACAACCTATTAAAATGTTCAATATCTTTTTATTTACCCATGTGTTCATTTGAATTTCAGTTTCAGACACAGTGTTACACAAGCCCTGTGTTTGCATAGGTCTGATAATGAGGTAAAACATGGGAGTTGGCATTCTGCATTTCCCTTTTACAGATTACAATTCCCCAAGCAGTCACAATATGACACAATATTTAGAAGCACCTAACAGTAATGCCAAATTATTACTGCTCCAAAGCCTGCGGTTACACGACCACCTTTTAAACCCTTCAGGGCATGAGAACTCAAAAAGACAATTTAAAAAAATTAAATTAAAGAAATTAAAAACTAAAGAAACGGAAAAAAGTCCCTCACAGCTCCTGCTACATATCAGACATGCACTTTTCACCATAAGAATAAACTTACAGCACGCATGCAGGTCTTTCTCTGGTTACTATCAGTCCAGTTAAAACCCATTATTATTCACAGATAAGAACTTCATTACTGGCATCTTTTCTTAATATAAGACATCCCTTCATGGCTAATTCGCTTTGAGAGGCATCACGTTTGGTACAATGGTTTCTCTGTAAACATTAATTTCTCATTGATTTTGTGA